CAAAGACAGGGCCTCTCCCATGGCGCTGCCTGTCGTGGGTGTGCCCCAGGCCTTTCCCTCCATCTCTGCCCCCTCCTTTGTCCACAAGCCTCATCCTTCCTGAGCCTTCGAGTAGCAGCATCCATCCTCATGTGTTTCTAGGTTCCCTCCTTGCTTGTCGTAACAAAGTCGAGTTCATCCTCACCGGTCCTCCCACGGTCTGGACCTATGCTGTCTACTGCGGTGGCCACGGCCACATGACCACTTGAAATGCAACTAGTCCAAATTGACATGTGCTCTAAATGCACACCAGTTTTAAGACTTAGTACAAAAAAAGCACAGAATATCTCATTAATAATTTTTTATATTGATTACATGTTGAAACAATGCTATGTTAGATATATTGGGTTACACGTATCATATTATTAAAACTAATTTTACTTAATCTTTTAAATTTGATGTGGCTACTAGAAAATTTAAAATTGGAGGAGCAGCAGGTTCTGGCCTCAACGTCTGCAGCTGGGTCTGATGGATGAGGGAGTGTGAGTGGGACAGTGTGTACAAGGGTACTTCACTGCGGGTTTCTACCCAACCAGCATTCATTTCCTTCCCCCCATGAGAAATTCATGCTGCCCCATTAGTGTGCCTCTGACCCTATTTCCTTTGCCGGCTGGAGGGACCCTCATTCTCACAGAGGCACTGGGAGAAAGCACAGCTGGGGTCCCGAATCTGGCTGACACGAGCTCTTCCCAGGCCAGCCCGGAGCCCGCCTGTCTCTCGCTGGTCCAGAGTCCCACTCATCAGATGACGGGACCATGCATAGACAAGGATGGAAACAGAAGACACACCCCAGGGATTCTGGGGGTCTGTCCATGCCAGCAGTCTCTGTCCCCATCTCCTGGAAGGCACATCTGTGTTTATGACCCAGCTGTCTTGGATGCCAAGCTGTACCGAGACCGAGGAAACTCGCTGGCAAAGGTGCAGCATCCAGACCTCCAGGACAAGTCTGGGGGCTCGGGAGCTGCTCCACCAGCCAGAAGGGAGGCCATCAGGAGGAAGGTGTCAGCAGAGAAAGTTGAGCTGGGTCATGTAGGGCCTTGAAGGCCATAGGTAGAAGTCTGGACTTTATCTGGATGCAACTGAGAACTGCCGAGCAAAGCAATGACATTCTCAGAGCCTCACAGAGCCTGGAAGCTCTGTCTTTCCAAAACAAGTACACCGGGAGGGGCTGAAGGACAGAGGTGGCATGTGAATGATTCACCTGAATGCCCCTCTGCCAGCATCGAGCAGGCAGCAAGCGAGCGAGCAAGGCTTGCCAGTGATGATGGTGACACCAATGAACAGTCACCAAGCAGTCAGATGCACCAGGCAGTCTTCTGAGGTGGTTCTACATGTATGGCCTTATCTAATCTGTACAGCTATGCAGGGAAGTGGTACGCAGGAGTTGAGAACTATTGGGCTCCCTGAATGTACAAATGAATGGATGAATAAGCGAATGTTGGTTGGTGAATATACTCCCCAGTCCTCACATTACACATTGCATGCATTGGGCTAAGTTGTACGGGTAATCTGTTCAGTGGATTTGATTCTGAACTGAGGCCCCCTTTTGACATGTACCAAAGCCCAGACCTGTGAATGGAGCTAATGCAATGAGCACAGGCTGCTAAGGAGAAGGGGGACACAGGCTGGGGTAGGACACAAGGCCCTGACCCTGGGGGGGAGCGGCCTGCCCAGCAGCCTCAAGTCTACCCCTGCATGCGCCCCTCCACACCTCTCCTGGATCCCCCATAGCAAGCCCTCTTCCGCTGGCTCCGGCCTCTCTCCCGGTCCTGGAATTAATAAAGACTCTGAACAGACTGCGGTTTGCAAGTCTGAAAGCTGGTTCCTGCCCACGTCACTGCCCTGAGAAGAGTGGGGCCCAGATTCCCCCAGGCACCCTTTTCATTCCCCTTTCCCGGGAGGGGGCAGGCACACAGATGTGCCCCGAACTCCCCTCCACCCCCTCCAGCAGGCATATGCCAGGCATTGAGGCAATATTCCTAGCAGACCTCACCTTCCAAAGGTCTGGAGCTATCACCACTGGAGACCTAGGGAAAGGGAGGGATTGTCCAGGGTCCCAGAGTGGCCTGCTATAGACCTGGGCCTTATAACTACACTAAAAACAGGAGCGGTACTTGCAGAACTAGTGGTGGCAATAGTGATATTGTTACTAGCACTAGTACCAGATGAGTACAGAGCTTTTCTGATCTGGCAGCCACGGAGCAGAAATATATAACCACATTTTATTTATCTTTGCAATAACCCTCCTAGGTAGTCGTATTTATCACCATTTGACAGATGAGGAAACTACAGCCTATGGAGACATTACTCCCCTAGGAAGTGCCAGAACCAGCATTCAGTCCTAGGTTCACCTGGGTCCAATGCCTACCTTTGACTGCTCCATCCTGGGCCACCCCTGCTAGAGCTCCAGACGGTCACAGTGCTCCTGGCTGGATGACGGGCATTAACTCATCTCCCAGAGCCATCCTGGTGCAGGGAAAAGCCCACAGGACATGTGGCCTCAACTCTGTCCCTTGATCAGCTGTGACCTAGGGCAAGTAACCAGTTTCCCTCTCCTATCTTCTCTGGCTCCCACATTTCTTTCCCACTACTGGGGAAGAGAGGGACATGACTCTCCCCTGCCCCATTCCACACCTCCTGAGAAAAACTCCCAGGATCCCCATCCTGCTCAGGCCTGCAGGCAGGAATGGCTGAGGGTTCTCCTGGAATACTGTCCTGGCTGTTCCAGCACAGGCCGCCCCCTCCCGGCCACCAGAGGAATGGCGGTCCCGGGTGTTCCCAGAGGGATGGAGAGAAACAACCGTCTGGGGGCTCCAGGTCTGGGCGCCAGCGGTGCTCAGCGTTGGGATAGGCGGTGGCCCGGTAATAACAGGAAGGCTGGGAGTCTGCATGGGGCAGGCTCCCATCTCCCTGTTCTCCCACAGGGCACCTAGCAGTCCAGCCTGACCTTTGCCAGACACTCGGCCTGTGGAGGGCTGAGTGTGGAGCTGTGACCTTGGCCCATGCAGAATGGAACCCTGTCTGTCATGGTCCCCCACATGCCCCAGATGCCCCAGGGGACAACACCAACATGGCCTTAACTCCCAGTGCATCCCCCTGCCTGCATCCTCCAGACCTCTTTAGACATTGACCCCAGACCTGCCCAACACCCCCTCTCCAGCTTCAGACAGGAGGCTGAGACTCTACCTCATACAGAATGGAGCCCTTTAGTGTGTTAGGGTCCCCTTCCATCCCCTGGGTGCCCTACAGGGCAACACCACCCCGATCTGACCTTCCAGGCCATTCTGCCTGAAGCCCCTCTACCTCTGCAGACATTGGCCCCCCCAAACCCCAAACATGCCCAACACCTCCCCTCCCCAGCTTCAGGCAGGGCCTGGCTCTAGCCAGCCCCGGGGGTGTTGGGGAGTCTGGAGGGCAGGGGTGGGAGCCGAGGCGCGGGACAGCTGGCCTGTGTCCCCACACTGGGCCCGAGGCCCAGCCGGAGGGGTGGGGGCCTGGCCACTCGAGCCTTGGCTGGGGCCGGGATTTTGGGCCAGGCTGCCGGGCCCTCCCTCCTGTTTCCTCTCCCGAGGGCTGTCCTGGCAGAGGCCCCCCTCGCACTTTCTGGCGGGAACAGGGCCAGCAGCGAGAGAACAGCCACAGAGAGAAAGTGGGAAAGAGATGGGGAAAGTGTGTGCGCGCTTGTGCATGTGTGTGTGCGCGTGTGTGTGAGGAGGAAAAGGGCCGCGGTCCAGCCCCGGCCGGCCCGGGAGGCTTGTGAGCGGCTTTCGTAACTGCCCCCTCCCTGCCTGCCGCCCCCTCCCCCAGCCTCCCCCTCCTCCCGCCCGCCCGCCCGCCCTCCTTCCCTCGCCGCCCCGCG